CCTACCCCAATATCTCCCAGAGTTTCCCCAGTGTTTTCTAGGAGCAGTTGTATAGTTTGAGGTCTTAAACTTAGATCTTTGATCCACCTTGACTTGATTTTTGTCAAAGGTGAGAGATAGGGGTTCAGATTCATCTTTCTGCAGGTGGAAATCCAGTTTTTCCAGCACAATTTGGTGAAGAGTTTGTCCTTTCCCCACTGGATTGACTGGTACCCCTTGTCAAAAATCAGTTGACTATGTTTTTGTGAATTTATTTCTGAGGACTCTATTCTGTTCCATTGGTCCACATGTCTGTTTCTGTGCCAGTACAATGCTGTTTTATTTATTTATTTAATAATTGTTTATTTTATTTTTTATTCATTCATTTATTTCTTAATTTGACCAGAGAGAGACACAGGGTGAGAGTGAGAGAGAAAGGAAGTGAGAAAGCAAGCCACCAGATTCAGGACTCGAACCCTGGTCGGCCATGTGGGAGTGTCCAGCGTCTTAACCACCATGCCACCTGCTGGTCCCCAATGCTGTTTTTATTACCAGAGCTTGAGCTTGATAGTATATTATTGGGTCAGGGAGTGAGATGCCACCCATTCAACTCTTCTTGTGTAGAATTGCTTTTGCAATTACCTATCCTTTTTTTGTAAGTACGAATCAACTAACCTATGTTGGTAAGACTGACTTTCTCATAGCACAGCAGTTTTCAAACTCTTCAGTCTCAGAGCTGCTTTGCACTCTTAAAGGTTGGAGGGCCTCAAGAAACTTTTTTATGTTTTTTTAAATTTATTATCATCATAATATTGTTTATATTACATTGAATTGCATATAACTTTACAGTGTATTACATTGCTTTTTCAAAAGGGAATGCCATGCATGTCAGTCAATACAGAGACATTAAACTCCCGACTTCATCATTCAATATCTTTTCATTGTTTTTCCCAATCATTTTTATTATTATTCCAATTATTTTGTTAAACAGTGAATCACTATCACTCATTTTGCTTGTAAAAAGACTCTACCCATCATGAAATACGTCTCAGATCAATCCACTTGAGAATACTTTACACGCCATCAGCAACAGGAAATAAGCCATATCTGTGTCCCACTAATGTCATGACTCTTTATTTGTTCTCTTGCTATCTTTCTCTATCCTCTTCTCTTCACCCCCCCCAATTCCACACTTCTTACCTTGTTAAGTATTTTCACTGTTTTTATGTCCTCCAATATTTTACTCTCTACCATAGAGTGCAGATAGTCAGTATATATTAAGTGGATACATACAATATTTTTCTCTCATAGCCTGGCTTACTTCACTCAGCAATAGATCCTCCATATCTGACCACTTTCTATCAAATGGCAGGGTCTTGTTATTTTTTATGGCTGAATAGTATTCCATAGAGTATATATGCCACACTTTTCCAATCCATTCATCAGTTTGTGGACATATAGGTTGGTTCCATGTCTTGGCAACCATGAATAATGCTGCAATAAACATTGATGTGCAAGCACTTTT